AAAAAAAAAAAATGGAGGTGGTCCAGAGCAATGCCAGGCGATTGAATGTCACTCGTGCGTGGCGTGTGCGTGCCTGTTGTCTGAATGGTCAGTCAGCACCCATAACTGTTTGTCCAGATATGGCGGAAGATTGGAACTCTAAAGTCCTGATTAGGCAGAATGTATATATTGCTAGGGGCTAATAATACCCTTCATAATGCTCCGACATCTTCACCCGAATACACCGTACGGCGTACGGGTCATTATAGCTGTATTTGGGGCAACTTTGAGGCTAGATACAGCGTTTATGACCGTACATTGTATTCGGGTGAGGACGGTAGGGTTAGGCTAGTACAATGAATGATTTTAGCGGGGGCTTCATAGGGGCTATGGGCCTCGCTCCACTACACGACACTCCACACATGCATCTGGAAGCTTTCTGGACCGGGTACGTACAAAACGCGTTGGACTCGCCCGAATGCACGTGGTCTAGACAGCGTCCAAATGCATGTAGTAGAGTGTTGTGTAGTGGAGGCAGGCCCTATGCTCGAGAACCAGCCTTTTCGTCTCCTGAAGGTCTTGAAGAAGAACTTTCTCCATGGGAAGTGAATTTTGGAAGGAGTCGAGCCTCACGAGGGCAGACAAGGGTCTGGCCCCACCGGTGCTAGGTTCATACTGAGACAACATGACCCTTGACGGAATTACAGCCAGGTTCGTGCAGACTCGGCACGAACGCAGCTGCAGCTGGCAGGCCTGTTCCTGGGGAGTAGAGGTGTGCGGGTCGTCTGCATGGAACGCGGGCTACGGACCGGTCCATGGGCCTCACTCCACTACCCACCACATGCATAAAAGACTGAATCTAGCTGCCATTGTGCTCAGGTGCATCCAGTAAAGTCCTACCTAGTCTGAGTATGCCCCTACCATCTTCACCTGAATAGATTGCCAGGCCGGTGTAGGTCTGTATTTTAGTCTATAAGCTAGTATTAGGTGTATTTTTTTTCAGTCTACCGTCTTCCCCCGAACATAATTAATGCACCCTAAAAATGAATGTATACAAGCTATATTTCCGTCCAGATACAGCCAAAATAAGGGTGCATTGTGTTCGGGGGAAGACTGTAGATACAGCAATAAGGACTCGGTATTCTGTTCACGAGAAGATGGTTGGCAGTAGGATGCTACCATCCGGTGGTTTATCAGACGACGAGCGCGCATTTAGGCCCTCCCTCCACTACTCACCGAATGTGCAAAATGAGAATGAATAGTCTGCTAGAACGTGGTCAGATACACACTACCATATTCTTTGTCTTTTGTGCATGTAGGTGTATCTGGTCGCTGCCATGGTACAGATACATTCTGAATGTTTCGGTGGAGCGAGGGGCCTTAGCCAATCGTCCGATAGATTAGCAGACGACCGGATCGTGATGATGTGGTTACTGTTTTAATTCTGATGGATAGGCCCTCGCTCCACTACAGAACAGTCTGAGTGTATCTGGTTGCTGCCATGGTACAGGTACATTCAGAATGTTTCGTCAGTCCAAATGTTTCTGGACAGTAAACAGCCCAGATGCATATTGAATCTTGACAGGTGCCGCAAGGCCCATTATAGGGTCTCGCTCCACTGCTCTCCCCACTCTTTGAGAGTTCTGCGCCGCTCCACTAACTTTCCAATTGGGGTCGTGAAAAACTTTTGGAGAGCTGTCGTAACAAAAACGAAAAAAGTGTTTTAACTTTCAAGGAATGAAAAAAAAAAAAAAAAAAAAAAAAAAAAAAAACACCACCACATGACCTTGACACCCATTCTCCAGCTTTGGAGAGTGGGCCTTGCTCCACTACAGTAACTCTCCAAATGTGCAAAATGAGTGAGACTGAATCCTCTGCTAGAATATGGAAAGATACATTGCCAGTTTTTTGGACCATTTCTCAATTTATATGTGTGTCATGTTGCGCATTGCCGATTTTTTTTTGTCTTTTGTGAATGTGGAGCGTAGTGGAGCAAGGCCCGGTGCCCTGCCTGCCTGCCCCAGCTACACCCCACCTAGTATTTGGAGAGTCCTCGGGCGGGCGAGAAGGTCGATCAGCGCCTGCTCTGTTAGAGAGTGGGCCTGGAGTGTACTTGGATCGGCGCCTGCTTTTAGAGAGTGAGCCTGGAAGTCTGGGCGGACAAACGGGAACCGCATGTTGTCTTTTTGTGTGTGCTCCATAGTAGAGATAGATGTCTTTTTGTGGTCTCCAAGTACACTGACGAAGATGGAGAGTACGTCGACGGAGAGTAGGGCCTCCTTGCCACACCACTGTCGAAATGAAAAAGGAACGAATGCGTATTCCGGCAGAGAAGGGCAAGATACATCCGTTACTACGAAGAGCGACGAATGCATCTTGCCACTTTCTGCGGAAAGATGCACTGGTTCTTTTTCCGTTCCGACAGTGGTGTGGCGAGGCCCTGCAGCGATGAGTAGTTTTCGTCGTTTTTGGAGCGAGTCTGGCAGCTCTCCACTTACTCTCCATTGTTTTGGAGAGTGGAGATTAGTGGAGCAAGCAAGACCCATGGTGTTGAATTTTTTAATCAGAGATTCAGAGGAGGGGCTGTCTCTTATACACATCTAGATGTGTATAAGAGACAGGGATAATACTGTGGATAATCCTGGATAATTCTGTA